CCGCAGTCCACACCTCGCCGATGGAAATTGCTGTTATCTCAGTTCTCTCACTATTCAGACCCTTACTGTTCTCCCTGGGTCTTCCTTCCTTTAGTGCACACTCCCTCTGATACTAGGGCTCTCTCCGGCCCCATCTCGCTCTTCATCCTCTTCTCTGGGGCCTTATCTACAATGCTGCCCCCTCCTGGGACTTTCCGGTGCCCAACTTGGGCTTCCCAATGATGCAGCCCCCTTTCTGGGGCTCCCGGTGCCCATCTGGGACTTCCCAATGATGCAGCCCCCTTTCTGGGGCTCCCGGTGCCCACCTGAGGCTCCTTCAAAATGAATGTTGCCCCCTTTCTGGGGCTCTCCGTGTCCACACTTGGGCTTCTTAAAATGCTGCCCCCTTCTCTGAGGCTCGCCGTGCCCACACTTGGGCTTCACAATAATGCGTTCCCCTCTCTGGGCTTGCTGTGTCTAACTTGGGCTTTCCAATAATGTTGCCCCCTTTCTGGGGCTCTCCGTGCCCACACTTGGGCTTCTCAATAGCGCTCCCCTCTCCGGGGCTCGCCACGCCCACACTAGGGCTTCTCAAACGCCCCTCTCTGGGGCCGGGGTCTATGCACCCCGTGTGCTGCGCCCACTGGCGCTGGGGTCCTCACACTCCGCTGTGAGTCCCCTATGAGGCCTCCACCATCCCTTTATAGCCTCACCCAAACCACCGGTCAGAGCAAACAACAACACAAACTTGAGCCTCCTGGCTATAACTCAAACATAAGCCACCTGGCTACAACAACATTGCTCAACTCCAGTCAAGCGGTACCTGCAGTTCTCCCTGCTTCTTGCATCATTACTCCAGGAGCTCCTGGCTGCTGGCAGGGGACTGCCTCTGGCCTCAGCTCCTGGGCTTTATAAGAGCCAGGCTCTGCCCCTTAGGGTCAGCTGACCTCTGGTTGCCCTGACAACCCACAGCTGGGCTCCTTATTCCCTGTTAGGGCTTCTTCCCTAGCAGTTTTCCCCTCTATGGGAGCAGGGCACCTCAGTGCTCTGTGACACCCCTCCCTTCCACTGGGTGGCCGCCTCCT